GGTGGAATATGCACATGCAGCCACTTGGGCAATGCTGTCCCCTTGCCTGGTTACCGGCTTGCACAGCTGAGTTTGATACCTCTTCACTGCTTACCTGGCAGCTTGAGTAGCCTGCAGCTGCAGCTCCATATTGTTACTATTGACTCCTTTGACTATTTCTTCAACTGACCAGTGTGCCAGAACCTGTACAATAAAATAACAGTAAAATAAAAATGAAGGCTTTGTTGGGAGAGGAATGTGTATTCCTGACCACAGAGGGCTTTCACACAATAGCATGAATGTGCTCCAGTTTACAACCACTTTGCTTATTGTCACCACCCTGTGATCCTCCAAAACCCCATTAGCTACAGCTTTACCTGCAGTCATCTGAACTGCTGGAAGCTTTCTTAAACAAGTGCTGTACACCAGTTATACTGAGCTTAAACTGCAGCTTCAGCCAGTTGTATTTAAGAGTGCTTTCCATCAGAGCTGATGGTACAGAGGCTTCACTGGTTAGTGCACAGGTAGCAGTGCTGTCCCCCAAGAAGGGATTCACACTGGCCTGGCTGCAGGAGCTCCCATTGCAAGGCTGCAGGTGTGTTCATTGCAGGTACCCGCTTACCTGATTGCCCTTGTTCTCCTGAAGGGGAGAAGTTGCATCGTCGGGTAAAGTGCTCACGTTTCTTCTTTTAAGCATCTGGTCGTCTTTCTTGGCTTTCCTCAGCTCCACATTGACTTCAATGCGCCGCCTTCTCATCTCCTGCAGGACACACATCGAGTGAGTTCTTGGTTTTAGCAACTGATGTCTAAAGAGATGATGGCTGGCTAAAAGCGCTGATTGCACCAGGATACTCACTGTGCTGTCCTTCCCTTTGTTCTTGAACCTGTTCAATCGAGCTGATGGTGTACTGGCATTCTCATTTGTAGACATCTCGCTTGCTGGGTTTGTGAGAGGGGCAGATAAAGACAAGCCTGAAAACAGCAAATAAACAGCGAGTTTACTCCACCAAAGTTAACTTAAAAATTTGGATCAATACTCGAGAATGAGAGGCACTTATTTGTATTAGATACAATAACAGCCTCTGACTTGGTCAACAGCTGCCTCTTTAAACAGCCCGATGTTACAGCAAAGCCTTAGCACCAACACAAAAGCAGAAGACATTCTCATACCGTTTTAAGACACTTTCAACCACAAATATTGCCAGAGTCGTTACTTTTAGGAGCAAGATAGATCTTCCTTCCCGCAGAGAGCACACACCCTTTTAAATACTATTTGAACGCTTCTTTCGCTGCGTCACGTACTCGTGCCGCACAGGATCCCACCCAGTCCCACCTCGACCCTTCTGGGAGAGAACAGCGAGCACAGGGCAGTTCGCTAAGCCGGTGCAGCCAGCAGCAAACAGCAACGGCTACACGGCTAACGAGGCAAACCCCTGCCCCTCGGCCTGACCCACCGCGGCCACAACCTCGCCGGAGCAACAGCCTGCACAAGGATACAGCGGGAGACACCAGCTCTGTCAGCACAGACTCGGGAGGCTCCGCAGGGAGGCCCCGGCAGGGATTGCCGGCGGAGCAGGGCCCCGCCTGACGGAGCAGCGCACGGCCCGCACCCCCCACGGCCCCCACCCGTGCCGCGCTGTGCCGCGCTGTCCCGCCCAGGCCCGCACCCGGCCCCCACCCGTGCCGCGGTGCCGCCGGTGCCGCCGCCTGAGCCTCACGCTGCCAGCACTGCCCCGGCCGCCTCACGCGGCCCTTTAAATTTCCCGCGGCCGCGCGCAGCCATTGGCCAGTTCGAGCCAAAGCAGCGCCCTGATTGGCCGGTTTGAAAGCAGCTCGACACGCGTGGACGGGGCGGGCCCGGTACGACGTCGCGTGGCCACACGCCCCGGTGCCGCGGGGCACGCCGGGAGCTGTAGTCCCGGGGCCCGGCCCGGCCCGGCGGGGTTTGTACCCCCGGAGGGGTTTGGGGCAGAAACACCCATTTCCTCACGCACGGCCCGCGTTCTGCCCCAGTGACCGGCAGGGTGCTCCTGAGACAAGGGCATGGAGCGGCAGGATGAGGGGGAATGGCTTCCCGCTGCCGGAGGGCAGAGTTGGATGGGATATTGGGAAGGAATTCTTCCCTGTGAGGGTGGGCAGGCCCTGGCACAGGTTGCCCAGAGAAGCTGTGGCTGCCCCATCCCTGGAAGTGTCCAAGGCCAGGTTGGAGCAATCTGGGCTAGTGGAAGGTGTCCCTGCCCATGGCAGGACGTGGACTTGGATCATCCTTAAGGTCCCCTCTCAACCCACTCTGTGATTCCATGATTCCAAGACCCCCTGTGTTGTCTCCCTGAAGCACAGTGCATAGGAAGTTAGATGTGAGGCTGCAGCTGAAGGCAATTCCACAGCCATCAGGGCAGATAAAATTAAATCCTATGGAATAACCAAAGGATTCCTGTCCTTGTGCATGGCCTGAAGAGGAACAGGTCTGGGATTGCTTCCCATGGGTTTGGCCTGCTCATGAGGAATGGAATACAAAAGAATACCCTCTTTCACAGGGGATGTAATTCAAATCAAAAAATAAAACCTGTGGAAAAACATGACTCTGACAGCACCTCCAACATCTCAATATACCTACAAAGTGCAACTCAGATAGAGAAGCATCAGGGATGCACCCATTTGTGTGCTAAACCATTACATTAAACCACTTTATGCTGGCCTGTAGATACATACAGTAGTGGAAGGGGAATTACCAGTGACACCTTACACAGTGTTTTGGTTTTGGGCCTTACAGTTCTGAGCTTCCTAAAGAAAATCACAAAAACAGCCAAGTAAGAGCAGGGAAGTCAAGAGAAGAGAGGCACACTACTCAAAAAGGGAGACATTTAAAAAGACTAATTTGACGGGGAACAAAAGCAGCTCAAAACCAGAAATCGAGATAAAACACCTGCTGTCCTGAAGGCTCGGAAGGTCGGCATGAAGGAATCGCACTGGGTCATGGATCGCTGGCAGTGCAGGGTCCAGAGCAGCAAAACCTGGGCACAGGGATGGGTGTTGAGGGCAGGGAGAGAGCCAGGAGTGCCCGGGACAGCCAGGGGGTGTGTGAGGGGCTGCGGGCGGTGTGGGGCCTGAGGGAGGTGAACCAGTCCCAAGGGCTGCTACTGGCACAGCCGAGCCGTGGAGAGGCGGAGGGAGGCCAGAGAAAGGGCACGGTGGGACTGAGGTAATGGGGCTGCAGGGGGTGTGAGGTGGTAAAAAGGGCTGTGAGGGGAGACTGAGCCGCGAGGGGTGAGAGCCGTGAGGGGAGAAGGGCCCCTGAGGAGAGAAGTGTGGAACAGCCGGCAAGGTATGCGGGATCCACGGCCAGGGTGGGACAGTGTCAGGAGAGTGAACGTCGGGAGCCGGTGACGGGAAGAGTTTCGGGACGGGGGGTGACGAGGCTGCCGCGCTCCCGCCGGGCGCTCTGAGGGGCTCTGAGGGGCGGGCGGGGCTCGGGGGCCCCGCGGCCAATGGCGGCCAAAGGCGGGCGGGGGGGGCGGGGCCGGCGGCGCCGGGCGGGGCTCTTGTGGGGCGGCGCGCGCAGGCTCCGGCGGGTGACCCAGTGGCCTAATGGATAAGGCATCAGCCTCCGGAGCTGGGGATTGTGGGTTCGAGTCCCATCTGGGTCGGGCCGCGATCGTTTTTGTGCCCCGTCGCCCACCCGCGACCTTCCCGACTCTTTTACCGCCCACGGGTCCCTTCCCGTCCCGCCGGGATGCGGTCGCGGCGCTGCGGGTCCTCGTGTTCCTCAGCCCCGCTGGAAAAGCTTTTCCGTGCCCGCTGCTCGGGCGTCCTGGAAAGCCGGGAATGCTGCAAGCGTCGCTGCCGCTGCTGTGGAAGGGTGGGGATGCTCCAAACACCACTCCTCCTAATGGAGATCCTGTGCAGGTAAAGAGGCTGGAGGAACTCGTGTAAGGGTTGAGTTACAGCACCGGTTAATTCAGCAGGAAAATCCCTGGAGCTGTGGGATGCTCACGTGGCCATCCATCCAAGTGCTCACACTCCTGCTTCTCTCGGTCGCTGCAGGTACGAGCAGGACACGAGTTCAGCAGGAATGTGGGAGCTCTCCTCTCCCTCATCCTTGGTTTACATTCCCGTTCCCGTACTAGCTCTCTTGGGATACTTCTGGCCTTAAAATGGGAAAAGTAAGAAAGGAAAATAAGGATTAATAAGCACTGCAGTAGAAATGTAACTCACTGTGTTAAAATGTCGTTTATTTTGCACGTTATTTTAGTTAATTTTCTGTATATTTACCCATCGGATGCTGAGCTGGTAACAATCTTATTGAACTGCTCAGTGAAGGCAGGACAAAACAGACTGCTTAAACCAGATAACCATTCCTGCCCCAGGCACTGCTCAGGGGCAGATTTTCTGTCGGGGGTGGGTTCCCAGGAGCCTTTATGGGGTTTATAAGTTGTTTGTTGCACCTTGAGCGAGTTCACAAACTTCCACACCAGCCGGGAGCAGCTGGTGTGAGACACTGTCACAAAGGGCATGTTGTGTGGCAATAAGCTCACATAGAAATAAACCCCCTTAATTCAGTAATCCAAATCAGGGCTGGCTTGGTGTGTGAAAACTTGCAGAGTTCTTCTTGTTAGCAAACAGAGATTTCAAAATAAAGCCGTGTCGGATCAGCAGAGCTTTGGCTTGGGCTGGACAGTCACCACTGCTTTTCTGCAGTCTGGAGAGAATCACTGGAACTGGTTCCTTAAACTAAAAGAGGAGATTACCAGCTGTGTAAGTGGAGGTGGCCAGAAATCCCCAAATATGTTCCACTGCAATGCACATCCTTCACAGACGCAGCGAGGCTGTTCCAGCACCTTCCAATTCCAAGATGAATTCCCCATATCCAATAAACCCCGACCTGTTCCGTATGGTTTTCTCTACAAAGCGCCATAAGAGGCAAGACTCTCCCCCAAATACAAAATCTGCTGCTAAAACCACATCATTCCCAGCACGCAGGGGACAGCAGCAGCACAGAGCTATTCCCGATGGGAAGAGGTGCTGGAGCACATCCCTTCTGGGCAGGGGTGCTGGAGGGACGGCAGCAGCTTGGTCTTGCTCCAGGGGGTTGTCCAGTGAGTGATTCCCGTTTCCCCTAAGGCTGCCTCTCATTAGCATGAAACGGGGGAAGGGCATAAAAGATTCCAGTTCGTTTTGAGTCTGGAAAAATACTTCAAAATGACAAGCCAAGTGTTGTGGCTCCTCTGCTTTGCCATTAGATCATCCTCCGGTAAGTCTGAGCGGGGCTGGGGCAGATTTGCCTTTGGAATCAGGGGAGGCTGAAAGACATTCCTGCAAATCCTTGCCCTCCAGGCTGTAACCTTTTCAGAAAGTGATATTTAAGGGCTCAGGAAAGAAACATTTCAAACTGTTGGTGGGGTGGGAATGCAAATTGCAATATTTGATTTGTCACATTTGGAGGAACTGAGAGCACCTGGCAGGAGCAGGCAGGGAGCTGCTGCCATGAGTCCTGAGTGGCAGGTGAGGTTTGATTTGCTTCTGCATCTGGCATTTTTACATCTCTTTTAGTCCCTTTCACCTGTAAATACCAGGTTTCTGACTGACTGCAGCTCTGTGCTGCCATGTGTGCCTGCAGCAAGCTGTCCTGAACTGGTTTATTTGGGTTATAGTACATCACTGACAGAAAATAAATAAGATTTACATCTGTTCCATTGGGAATTGGTTACGGTGCAGTCATACTGCAACAGCTAGACAGGAATATGCTGGTACAGGAGGAGGAACCTCAAGGTCCTGAACAGACTGAGTAGAGAAAAATGAACTATTTCTTGTTCCACTCCGTGACTCAGAGGGCGTGATGAACTGGTAGGAGAGTGTTCTTACACACCCAAGTGTGAAACACCTGTTCAGAGTGCACAGCTCATATTGAACCATCTCCAGAACACCCTTCCCTGCTGCTCCCTTCAGCTTGGACTCCTTCCACCCCACTCTCCATGGACATTCTTTTGACTTTACGTGTGGCCAGCCTGAATATCAGGGAATCTTTCCCATGACAGCAGCTGGTGAGAGCAGAGGGGGAGAAGTGGCAAGGTCAGCAGTTGAGTCAGGCAGAGGAGATAAACCAGGACGTTGTTCATCTGGGGGTGTCAAACCTCTCTTCTCACACAGGGACTGGGATCAGCCTCCTACACACACAGAGTACCCACGGCCACCACCAGCAGCACGGCTGGGTGGGGGGGAGCTGTGTGAGAACTCTGCTGGCTCGCTCAGGGCTCAGGCACTAAAGGAACAGCAGAATGGACTGCAAGGGGAATTTCTCTCTTCCCAGCCTAATCAGAAGGTCATTGTGCTTTTTTGAGGTCCAGCTGATTGAGGTGAAGGTATAAACAAAAGCATAGGTGACTGCCCAGTTTGTGTGAAGTGTCAGAAAGTCATTTCTCACTGGATTCCCGGACACTTCCTCTCTTTCTCAAGCCTTGTCCTCTCAAATTAAGAAAAGCCTCGAAATAATTGTTTCTCAGCAGCAGTAACCTAATTACCAGTTAGAGATCCAAAAACTGTGGATAAAGATCTTTCCAGTAACGTCCAAAGCTGCTGAAAGGTCCGGATGACACTGTCAATAAGGCATCCCATGGATGGGAAAACCAAATAGTTCTGCTGTCATGGTCTTTTAAACAAGCATCCCAAATGGCAACGTGAACCTTGTTTCCTCAGATGCTCCCTGGAGACTCAGGGGTTTGAGAAAAGGGTTTGTTTTTAATTTGCAACAATAATAAAGTAAAAATGCAAACCTCCCGTTCTGCTCACACAGCTGCATTCCCTGTGCTGGGCCTGCCACGTCTGAGGAATGAGCAGCTCTACTGTATTTCATCTGTTCAGCTACTTATCAGTGATATCTTTATCAGTTATTAATATATCAATTATATATTGTTGAGGGACTTATGGACTAGAACCTCAAAGCTTCCCATTCAGAAGAAGATGGAGTAAAAAACTTAAAGTGCTGATTTCTCTCTCTCTCTTTTTGTTGTAGGATCCCTGCCCTATGCTGAGAAAGCTGGCCAGGCTCTCAGCAAAGATGCTTTTAGTTCAGCAGCTGCTGCACCTGGGCAGGTGAAGCTGCCAGCCCGTGGCACCAGCAGTGCCAGTGGGAATTCCAGGGAACGCTGGCTCCTGCCTCCCGCCCACCTGCAGCCGCCAAAGCCTCCCGAAATGCCCTCCCTGCCCTGGGACAAGAAGAAGCGCACCAAACCTGCCCTGGAGAACAGCACAGGGCTGAGGAAACACCTCTGGCAGCCCCTGGAGAGCCCATCTGAGGGGCCTTTCCCCAGCTCGCAGGACTCCAACAGGAAGCACACGGACCGGCGCCGCGCCGGCGCTGCCAACAGCGTGTCCGCCCGCGCCCCCCACGCCACGGCCCCCCAGCAGCACGGGCCATCCCCACAGGGGGCTCATCCTCTGCCAGGCTCACTGCAGCCAGCCGATCCCAACACGCTGCTCTTCAACCGCCCGGGCCAGACCACCCCCCACGAACACCCCGACCCCTTCGACAGGATCCCCAAACCCTCCTGGCTCCCCAACCGCTGGTCCCCCGGCCCAGCCCCCCGCCTGGCAGCGCTGAGGAAAGGTAAGGACAGGCTGCTCTGGGAAGGGGCACCCCGAGATCCCAAAGGCTGGGTGGCATAACTGGGATGAAACATCCCAAAAGGCCCGTTTGTGTCCCTCGGTGTGTGCTCCTGTTCCAGGTGGTGACGAGGAGAGGGAGTGCCTGACCCAGTGCAGGGGAGAGTGGGATGAAGTGGAGGCCTTTTGTGCCAGTGAATTCGGTAAGTTGAGTCCTCCCTGACCCACACAGACAGAGCACAGCCCTGCTGTTCACCTGCTGCACTTCCAAATACTGTTAAAAGACACCATAAGGATGTTAAATAATTGCCAAGTACGCTAAGAGTTCTCCTCACACCTCTTTATAAATGTACTCACGTTGTCCTTTCCCTACCTTGGGCTAGTATTGATCTTTTTTTCTGTTTCCTCTACTTTCCAATCCTGGGAGGAAAAGTGTCCTTGGGACTGGTCAATGAAACTGAAAAGACCAATTGTTTCAGATAGATTAAACATTGTAGCTGGGTTACTTACCTCCTACTACTTAGAGTGAGTTTCATTTTGGGGGCTGAAGCTTGAAATAAAAAATATAACAGTGAACCAAACAGAAGTAAAACTGTGATCCTCTCTCTGGAGAGGATTCTTCCTGAAGTTCCTTAGGATTCAGCGTGTTTAGTTACACCAGTGTGGGCACAAGGACTAAAGAAGGCAGGAAAGAGCCTGGCATTTCTGTAGGGCTGTTTAAGGACAAGCATTCTCTGACTCAAATCCTGCCTTGTGCTTACGAAGTTGTGAAACAGATACCAACTTTTTCTCACAGTATTTTAAGAGATAAGAAAAATACAACCCCAGTGGTAACAGATGTTTCCATTTGTAGAACATAAACACGTTAGGAGACATCTGTTTTCTCTAAATGGAGAAGTCAGGAAGTGCTTTCTCCAAATGCTGCCTGTTTTGGTTTTTACCACTCTCACACATTCCTGTCCAACAGGGAATGTTGCTTTAGCCCTTCTTACCCAACAGCGGCCTCGCTCTTCTCTCAGACTGAAAAGACAGGTAGGAAAGAGCCTGAGCAACAGCTGAGCCAGAGTTCCATTGCAGTGATCAGAGAGCTCTCCATTTCTTTCCATTTCCAGTGCTGAGGCAGTTCTCTCCCCAAGGCAGGTGTAGCTGGAACAGCCCCCTTTGCCTTCCCCACCCGACATTCTTGGAGTCAGCTCAGCACTTGTCAGAACCAGGCACTGGGAGCACGGCCTGAAGTGACTGTCTGAGCACACAACACAACCTCCTTGGTGCCTCTTCTTTCAAAAGCCCAAGTGTTTCATATCCAGCTCACCTTGGTACCTCAGTGGGAAGTTTCATTACCTCACCTTTGTGAGTAAGTTTTACATTTGACTATTTGACTTTGTTGGATAAATACGTCCACTTTTTATGTATTGGGATAGAAAGTGGTACAAAACCCATCCCTGTCTTCTGGAACATTCTATAAACTTCACTAAGAAACATCTCAGACCTGTAAAGCACAAGGTTAGTAAGGCAGCAGAAACTCAGGCAATGATCTCACCAAAGGTGACTTGAAGCAGCTCCCTCTGCCCCCTGAATCCAAGGATTTCTGCTGACACTTCCCTTGAGCATTTTCAGTAAGAGCCTTCACACGTACCCTGAGTTGTCACCATTATATACAGCCTGATCCTTGCTTTTTTCCCCCCTTTCTCCCTTAAAACAGCAGTGAATGGAATTGTTTATGACATGGAAAGCCTGGGGAATGGAGTCCACTGGATCACCCTCCTGGTGAACGGTGATGGATTGTACAAGATGAGCCGCCTGTACGTCGTTCCCGATGCCGCCTTCTTCCGAGTTCACATCCTACTTGTGGATACTTTGAACTGCAGTAAACCCTGCCCAGACTTCAAACTTGGTAAATAATTCCAGCTAAATCCATTCTGCTATTCCTCTGCATGCAGTGCAGTCTTAGTCTGCCCCAGTTTAATAGGCTTACCCGGGGTTGTCGGGGAAATCTGGGAAAAAAGCATTTACTCAGAGTGAAGGGCTTTCTCCATCCCAGTTTCTGGAAACTTCCAAAAGAGAAGTGGGAAGAAGTCAGGTATCAGCACAGTCCTTTCTTCACTTTATCCAGTTCCAAAACGATTGCAAGTTTCCAGGATTGCCAAAGCAATTGAAGCAGGAGCTTAAGATGGTGTCTTTGTCAGTAGTCCAGTTTTCCTTCTAAATTCACGTTTATCAACCACCAGTATTTGCCCAGTAAATCATCATTCCCATGCAAGCACCACCCCCAGGCCCCAGGGAAGCTCCCTTGTAGTTCAGGATGTTTCCAAAGGGCACAACTTCCCACCTGTCCCCACCTCCGGTGCCCACGGAGTGCAGGGAGCGGTCCCACATTCCCTGTGTCCCAGCAGCCCCGTTCTCTTGGCAGGGAGCAGGTACATCGTGATGGGGCGGATCTTCCACAAGCGCCGGGAGCTGCCGGCGGAGCTGCTGCCAGCGCTGCGCGGGCGGCTCCGCCCGGGCGACGGCTGGATCGGGAGCGGCGGCGGCGGCTTCGTCAGGAGGTTCAACAGGAAAAGGGATCACAGGGTGCAGGCGGCGCGTTCCAAGTGTCCCTAAGGGCCGGTGGCCCCGTCCAGGACACGGGGAGCAGCGGGATCCACGCCTGGCCAGGGCAGCCATCGGACACTGCTTGTGCTTCAGCAAACACGGAATGCCTCGGCCAGGCCACTCCGGTGGGGCAGGGAATGTTAACTTGCTCCAGCTTTTTCAGAGCCACAGGTTAGTGTAGCCTCCCCTGCTGCAGTGCACCCCCAATAATCAGTAGTAAATGCACAGCTCTGGAGGCTTCATCCTCAGTACTCGGCAACTGCACTTTAGAACCTCTGCCCCTGAACACGGTAGGTCTGTACACAGCTTTGTCTACACGGGATGTCACACAGTTCTGCCTGAAGTCTTCCATGCATTTGATTCAAGAGAAACCAACACCACTAAGTAGCACTTGTATTGGTTTTGGTCTCCTCCAACACCTCTTTTGTGCTGCTTCTAAAATGGCCACACAAAGCACACAGAATGCAGTGTCACTGTTTGAGTAGATGAACACGCTGACTGAAAGCACACCAAGAACTGCACAGCACAAATGCCCCGTTTGGCTCATGAGTAACGGCCCAAGTTCACTCCCAGGGATGCAGAACGAGCACGGCCTGCACGGTTTGTGTGCCTGGGTGCACGGGCAGATCCTCCTGGATGCCACCCCCCTTCAGAAATATCACCCAGCTCGCACTTGCACATCAGTAAAGTTACTTTTAAAGTCACGGATACAACCTCTTAGTACCTTTAACGTGGTGGGAGGGAAGAACCTGTGAAAGGGTTGCAGAGGGAATCAAATGTTTGCTGTTCCCAGTCAGTGTTTGCAGATCTTAAGTCTGTAAAAGAAACTAATAAAATGTTCATGAGGTTCTGGTTTCACTGTCTGCTGGGTTCTGGAACACCCAAAAAGCTCGTTATAATATCAAACAAAGGCATCTCCTGGTTTGATAAGTTGGGGATTTGACAATACATATTTATATTACGAAATGGAAAAATAGTTAAAAAAAATACATCTACAGTGGTATGACATGAGCTGCAACAGGAAGCAGTGGTTTCTATAAGCATTTTCTGTCTTGAAACAAAGGCAGTTCTGGCACATTCTACCTGTCACACACCTCTGCAGCTTCATTTAGTGTCACTGAATGGGGATGGGTGACAGGTCACTGCATCGAGCATGTCTTGACACCCAGCCAAGTACCAAGAGCAAACATCACATCTTGGGACCCAAAGGCTGAGAAATTTACTCACAGTGTGGGTCTAACTAAAAAATACATTGTCTCCCTTCTGCTCTGTGGAAGGCTTTGCATGGAGCACAGCATGGATAGATGGAATTTTCCTGAGACTCTGAGGGGGCTCTGATTTGGCAGCAGGAGTGTTCTGGCAGTGAATCCGAGCCCTGGAGCGGCTGGGAGGGACAGGAGGAGGAAGGGTTACATGAGCATCTCCAGTTTCTCTGTTTCTATTTCCAGCCAAGTCCAGGGACAAACCAGCAACTCCTCCAGGCACCCCCTGCCCAGAGCAGCATCCAAGCCCTGTTCCCACTATTGTAACCTAACCCAGGGAAGTGTGGGTACAAACCCAACCTGGATCTCACTTCGATTGTCCCTGGGAAGGGATAAGCACAGGACACCAGTTCAGTGCCAATAACTGACACAAACACTCTTGGATAGAGCTGCTGCTCTGGGAGCCCGAAGAACAATTTATCCTGTGCTCTCTTTTTTCATCCTCTTACCTTTCCCTTCCTCCTTGGAAGGGCCCTCCTTAAAATGTTCCCAACTGAGCAAGAAGCCACTGCAGTTCCCAGCCCAGCTGAGACAGAGCTGGAGCAGCACTGCTGTTACCAGGCTCATCACATACTAAAGGTGCACACTCAATAAAAAAGATTTCTTAGATCACGAGTCTTTCACTCGCTATTCCAAAACCCTCACAGCAATAACCACCCTGAGAAGACAGAGCTCAAGTCCAGCAGCTGCCACAGTAATTTTGGTACCTTACAGTTGATAGTTTTCTCCTCAGTAGGATCAACAGGAAAACTCTGCAGGCAACACACAGAAATCCAGGTGTGCAGGAATATTGTTGTGGTCTTGTCTTTCCGGGGTTTTCTCGAGGCTTTTGGCTGAGCTCAGCTTTTCACTCTGCTTTAAACCTCCATTAAACTTCTGCATGAACTAAACCAGGAGAGAGGGTAATTGCTTCAAATTTGAGGAGACAGAAAGGAAAAGCAGGCTGGTACAGCTCACATTACCACAGTGTTACAACACAGGCCATTTCAAAACAACTGTTGCAATCATTTATAAAATACAGAGAGCAGGAAGACTGAGCAGAGATCACAAACCTTATGGACTTTATGCTTTAAGGCAGGTGGGAATTAATCACAAGTGATTTATTTTCAATAACACCATTTAACTGTAAAAGATCACCACTAATAAACTGAGAGAAGCACCTTGACCTACTCCATGGCAAGTGAACACACTGAAACAGGATCACAATGGTTTGGGTTGGACAATTCATCAGCAGGATTGAATATGATCTGGCAAAGCCAGGACCTATATCCATTAACATCATCAAATGTTTCATTAGAAACACCACCAAATCCATGTCAAACACATTACTTTATTTGTCTAGGATGATGTGTCCTATAAGGTACAAAAAAAGTACTGTCCAGTTTGCCACAATTTGTTAAAAACAGCAATCTATTGCCTACAGGTAGGAAAGGTTTAAACCATCTCATATGGATTTAAAAATGAATAAATAGTCCAGAAGTACTGAGGAGTTTGGATGAGATGCAGGATATTCCCAGTGCTGAGAAAGGGGACGTTTTTCCTTCGTTGCATTAAAACACAATGCTTACAATATGCAGCATTATTGTTAAAAAACTTCAAAGGACGACATAACCTAAATGCAACTACTCTTCTTTGACTTTCAGAAGCATAAATGGATTCTTGTCTCCACACTGAACAATTAGTAATTTTCACATAGAGTAGGTTAAATGACAACATTTGTATGTACAAAAAAACACGCGGGTTTTTTAGTAGATAAAATCCCCCCAGAAGAACCTGAACACCTGAGCTGAAGTGTAAGAAAGGGTGGTCATAGCAACACCTTTGTAAGAAAAAAAATAACAGACGAGGTTCTTGCATAGCAAGGTGTGAGGTGAAACCCAAAAGGAGCTTATCCATGAATCAGGTGAATCCCAGCCCGCCGTGGAACAGCAGCTGGCTGTGAATCAGTGCAAAGGCTGGGCAGGTGGGGGAGGAGCTGCAGAGAAACCAGGGCTGGGAACTACAGACACAGGTACCACGAGCAAGTCTCACTTGCAGGGTGGGGAGATGGGCAAGCAAACCTCCTCATCTGCAATTTGCATCTTCTTGGACTGCAGTTCATCCCCCAGGAAACGCGGGGGCAGCCTCGCAGGGATCCAGTTACACGTGGCACTCCACATGCCCAGAGCACTTGGCAAAGCCCCCTGAGGGCAGCAGTGGGCAGGGACACTCCACAAGATACTTCCTTACCCAGTTCCACCTGTTACAGTCATTCTGGCACCTCTGCAGCCCTGTTAGAATGGGATAACAGGATAACAGGTGCTTGGGAACCAACCGTGGTATCCACAGCCTTGGGAGCAGCGGGATCCGACCTCCCTGGCCATTCCCACCCCTAATTCCCTGCAATACCTGCACTCCTGCACAGAGCCCACGTGTCAGCGCACACTCAAACAACACCTCCATCTGTGGGGAGAACAATGATCTCCATTTATTTTGTTTCATATACATCCATATTTTGAATTTTAATACAAAAGAAAAAAAAAATTAGAATCTGACAAATGTTTACAAACAAGATACCTTCAAATAGATTTTACTCAGTTCAGTCTGGTGCAGAGTAAATGACAAATTGTACTGTTATATTCAAGGCAACAGAGTCTGTAGTCCATGACCACTCAGCCCAACTTCTATGCAAGCTTGTTTTTTATCTACCATGAATGATAAACTCCTTGTTGATTCCCAGTCCTGTGTGTGTGCACATGTGTACATAGCAGCTCCTTTCATAGAAAGAAAAGACATCTAGAGGTCTTCTTGTACTTTTACCTACAGGAATCATGTTAAGATACAGAATGGATTACATGGAACCGGGGCTGGATCTTATAAGAAAAAATAATTAGCTGACAAATGAGGGCAGCAATAAAAAAGCGTCTTTTTTGCAACAATAAATAAATACAGTCAAAGTTTTCTGTGTGGACTTTAAACCAGCTTCTTCACTGAAGAACAGACGTGGCATTTCCATGGAGTTAAACGTGACCCCATTTACTGTATCTTTTTTTTCTTGCTCTCTTTCTCTCTCTCCTTCACCAAAAACAAAGTTTTCCTGCTTCTGCCACAATAGTACAACAATTTGATCTTGACAAGAAAGTGGTGCTGCTGATTTCTTTCTTTTTTTTTTTTTTTTAATTATTATTTCTTTGTCCTTTGGACAAAAATAAGCCAAGAATATAATTTGACTGTTGTGACCAATAAAAACGCAGTTTACATCGAGTCTTGTCAGGACAACCTGACTAAAAACATCTGGCTCCTTTCATTAAAAATTGTCAGACAACCAGATCCTTGCTCGTGTGTTTGGTTGAACTCTAAGAAGCTGTAGACTGCAGTTTGTTGTTATGGGACCTGCAGAATACACAAGAAAGTGAAGAATTAAGCACCCTTCAGTTTGGAGAACACAAAGTGTTGCCAAAGGGTAAAGCACAAATAATAAAGGAATTACCACCACGTTGCTTCCGTTTAAGTTTTTTCCCCTTCAGGAAAAAAAAAAATAAAATAAAAAGAACACTTAAAATAATTCTCTCTGAATTTTAAGCACGTTTTCTCCTATAGAAACAAATATTTCAGTACTTGGAAAATGCAGTGTGTCTCTGGAATATTCCAAAGCGCCTGCAATCGGTTTTACTCACATATTTACATAATAGTAGTCCATCAAAAGGAAAGCAAAAAGACATTTTTAGTTGTGAATATTTATAATAAGATCTACTCTGCTTAAATTCATTCAAGAAATCTTTGGATTAACTTAATAGGAAAAAACCGAACAGGCATGTTAAAAATCACATTTTTGCTAAGCAGAGTTCAGCAAAACTCCTCTTTGACATTCACAGTTTTATTCGTGACTTATCATAATAAAACAATAAAATACAAGGTTTCCAAGATGAATTTTTCCTTTTTCTCCATACAGCATTTGAGGAACGGGACAGTTTGTGTTAACACAGTTACTTTCACCAGCAGGACTGCTGGCAACAAAAACAACAGTTACTGTTTGGACAAGCGAGCTGGATTTTTAGGGCAGTTTAATGTCAATGAATTGTACAAGAAAAGAAAGTGAACCCCAACATCCAGTTCTGATTCCAGTTAAAAAGTTCAGACTAAAGATATCACAATCTGCAAGAAAAGAAAGAACATGGATGGTATAAATGAAAAACAATAACAAACAAGGTGCAGCAAATGAAATCAGTGTGCTGGGTACCAGCTATGACAGAGACAGAAACATGGGCTGAGAAGTGCCTGACAAAAAGCACTAATACAGGATTAAAGTGGAAAGAAAAATGCTGCTGTCCTACTGGGTAGGACAGGCAAGCAAGAAAAACGTGGGGTGCAGCTGCCCTGTTTTTTTTAGGAATTTCTGCATGAGGGAAACACTACATTGGCCCTTCTGCAGACAAAGAAAAGTTTAATTTTAAAAGGTAAATTTTGAATTATGTTCATTTTTCCATCTCCTGCTTTAAACCGGATTTATTCCCTCTGTTTCCAAGGTGGTTGTAAAAAGATGAGAGAAGGAGTAAACCAGAAGGATTTTAATTTCTTCCAGCAGGATTGTCTCCTATCAGCATGAGAAGTATT